CGGTACGTCGACGCCAGGTTGGCCATGCTGGTCAGCGTCGAGGGATGCTCCTCTCCCAACACCTCCCTTCGCAAGCCTCTCGCCTGTAACTGGAACTTCTCCGCCTCAGTCCATTGACCTTGGTAGGAGAAGAATCCGGCTGCACAGTGGAGAAGGGATGCCCTTGCCAGCCTCTCATCCTTCGACCCAGTGCTTACAAGCCTCAGCACCGCATGCACATGCGGAAGCAATGCGCTACATATCGCCCGGTTCTCATAGCTGCCATATGGGTAAGCCTGCGACACCACCGAGAGCGCCTGTTCCGCGAATCGGCCCATCGTCCCCTTCCTGTCGAGCCACCTTTGCGTGACCAACTGCACAAGGCGGTGCATATCGAATCTACGGTCCCTGTCCTCAACAACAAAACAGAACGCTTTGAGAACGCCTAGCGCCTTCGTGAGTTGTACTTCCCCTCTTTGCTCTTCGCCCTGCTGCTTGCCGTAGTGGGATAGGAATTTCAACGGGACGTCCTGCCGGTCGAAGAGGCTCATGAGCGAGAGGAGCTCGCCCGCAAAGACATTCTGCCGCTGGATCTGCTCGAACGAGAGAATCCATGTCTCAGCCACCGCACGAGGAGTCTCCGAGTCTCTCCCGTCTGTCTCGAATTCCTCGCTCAGCAGATCGATGGCGTTCTGCTCGCTCTTATCCAAAAGCCGAAGGTACTCGCCGATCGTGATGCTGTTCTCTTGGATGAACGCCGCCGCCTGAACGAGCGCCAGGGGTAGGTGCTCCAGCTGAGAAGAAAGCGCCGAGGATTCGTCGGAAGCGGCGTCGATTCCGCCAAGCCGTGCACGAAGCAGCTGGGCCGTCTCGTCGTCATCCATCCTGCCGATTTCGATCGGGTGCTTTCCCTTGGTCAGCTTCAAGCCCGTCTGCTTGTTCCTGGTTGTAACAAGAATAGCGCCGTGCGAGCACTCGGGAAGGTACCGCCCAAGGCTCCCCTCGTGGCTGAATGCACTGCCGTTCTTGGATCCCCCTTGCTGGCCGAAGAAAAGCTGGGTGTCATCGGCATTATCGACCACCATGAGCCACCGGCCGCAATCCTTCCGCTCCAACCACCTCTTCACCAACGGCAGCACGTCGGTCTTGGGGTCATCATAGCCCGGGACTTGGCATTCTTGTGCGAGGAAACCATACGCTTGGCGGAACCGCTCGGCGTTGCTTGCGTGGACCCAGAAGACTGACACGTCCGGGTGCGTCTCCCGCAGCCAGAACGCGTACCCCAGCGCAATCTGCGTTTTCCTAGCGCCGATTAACATACTATACCAAAAGCGGGAACGACCATCAATACCCAATGCCGCCCAAACCATAGAGACACGCTCTCGGCTGCGAAGCACCGCCTGTCAAAGGCTGCCCATGACCGAGTTGGCTCTTCAGCAGTTCGAGGATGTCGGAACGCCCAACAAAGTCTGGATTGCTAGTGTACGGCACGAGAACTATTCTGCTTAGCCTGACCTATGAGCGGTACGGTGGTGCTACCTACATCGTGCGGCTGAGCTCGTGTATCCATCCTGTCCATCTCCTGACCTTCCGGTATAGTCCGAGGCCGGTGCTTCCCAGTGACGTCTTTCCGACGTGTCTATTTCCTTGATCCACCGGCGGAGCTCCCCGCAGACAGCCGTGAACCCGGGGTCGTCCGCAGAGACAAACCTGGCCATGTCCATATGATTGCTGTGGATGCCGATCGGGATGTATCCCGGGAGGATTGCCGAGTGCTGCGGCACCACCTGTGCCAGTAGTTAGCCAGCCACTATGAAACCAAGCTCATTGAGCTTACCTGACCAACGCCAGGCAGAGGGAGCTCCTCAAAGAAGCAAGTGATATCGATCTGCCCTTGGCCCTCCCTGCTGCGTGCCTTGACCATCGTATGAAAGCCGTCCTGAATCCGCGCGAGCACTTCGGACTCGCGTCGGAGGACTGCCACAATCTCGGTGTTTGTCTGCTTGACGAGGCCGATGTGACGGGACAGGAGCTCAGCCCATCTGGCCAGACCCGCCCCGTGGTGCGGCGTTCCTAGGAAGGCGATTCCTCGGGTCGATTGAAGGATGTTCTGGAGGTGCTCCTCCGGCCGCTGTCTCGATGTCACTAAGGCCTGCCACCATTTTTAGCGCGCTCCATCAAATGTCAGAGTGTGTACCATACATCCTCGCAAACAAGCCCTCCCAGACTGTGGCAAACGAAAACGATAGGTCGCTTGTTCTACGCCCGTCAGTGCAACCAGCCACCACGCAAGCCCGCGGGAGACAGTACCGTTTCGTCCCTCTCTCGGTACGTCGCAAGAGACGTGAGCAGATTCCACGCATGGTTTCCAATCCTCTTCTGCGCCACCACTCCTCGCCAATCTGCCACATATGCATCGTACCCGAACGTGAGCACGCGCGCAGTCGGAAGCTCGGACGGGAGGAGGGCCTTAGGCCACGGGTCGGACGCGTCCCGGGCGGTCCACGTCTTCTCGCGATCGCCAGCCAGGCCGTGGACGAAAACGATGCTGGCGGGTGATTATCAGCGGTTGTGTTACTGTAACTTGGAGTGGGAATATACCAACTCGGCGATAGCGTGTTCCGGGCTATGAAACAGTTTGATGCCTGACGGGAAGGTCTTGATCGAGGACGAAATCCCCGCAACCGATCGTTGAGGCCGGTCGTGCTCAGCGGTCGGCCCGGTTGCAGCGGCTTTCGGCCGCCGTCCGAAGAAATGTCGCATTCCGCCGTGGAAGGGAACGTGCGTCTCGGTCCGTCAGATCGTGATCCGCTGCTGTGGTGGGGTTCGAAGGTGGACCTGGTGTGCTTGAAGCGGCTGGTCCGAAGACCCCGGAACATTGCGGGCTTTTACGCGCCGCCTGTGCCTTGGGAACTCTCTTGTGATGGACCAATGCGCGCAGCCAGAATCCGCCTCTTCCACGCGTATTCGTATTGGCTCACGAATGCTTGTTACCTGGTGATCTCCACCTAATGTGGCTTGAATCAAAGATTCGTCGATAACTCACTTCCAACTGTCGGGATGAGGCTAGCCGATTCTGGCCCTTCTGTGTGATGCTGCTGTGGGCGATCGCACCAACCGCAGCGCATGTGGAGAGAGGAGCGCGGGGTTGGTCTGTGGCTCTGCGCACTGCGGATGGGAGCGGCTTGTGGCTCTTGGAAGCAGCGAGTGCGACGCTGCGTTAACCCGAAAAGGTCAACTAATACCAATTTAACCATACATTTCCCAAGATATGCCTTGATCTCCTTAAAGCCCATGCAAAGTCCATTCTACCTCGTATGCTCCTCTCCTACCTTTTTTCTTCGAATTCTCGTAGGTTAGTTGGGGTGTTTGTAGGCTGACTTGAAGGCGATTCTCTAAGTGTTCAACGTCCCATTCTCGGTAGTTTAAGCGGTGCCTGCTGTTCGTGGCACGAGGTAATGAATGTGGGTTCGGTGGTGGAGGGTGGTGGGTGGTCGCTTAGGTGTTTTAGTCGGCCTGCGGTGGGTTTGCGTCAAGTCGGCCCGTGGTCATTGCGAATCGTATCATTGCCCGAACGGCCTCCAGGTTTGGAGACCAGTCTTTGCTATCCAATGGTATTTCCCTCCTAGACAGAAGGAAATATTGCTCTTGTGGGTGTATGTACACTGGAGCATCTCTGTTCGGTACGCTGTCCATTGTGCCACGAGTGGGAGCAACTGACCACTGCGTAGCACCCTCAAAAGAGGGACCGTGGTTCGAACTGTCCAGTCGAACCAGGAGTTGCGCACATTAACCTCACACTGTCACGACCCGTGACAATTGTCTATATCGGAAGAGGAAATGTTCTACTATCTCTGCTGCTCGTCTACATGCGTACTACTTTAACGGGGCCGCCTCAATTCGATGGAGGTAGTTATTGAGTCTTGCTATACCTATTCTTAAGTTGAGCGAGTTTACTGGCTTCCTTCTATATTAGGCTGTTATAGAGCTGCGTTGTGTTTTTGCCTGACAATGCTGCGTCGACTCTTAATATGTGTTCTCTATACTTCAGCTTCGCATCTATGACCACCCCGAGGATCTTGACGTGATTCTCAGGTTCGATAGTCTGTTCCTTGATTACGAATGGCTGGGCGTTAGTCTTGTATGGATGTGTTGGACGTCCAAGAGCCACGATTCCACGGTTATCACACAGATTGGAACTTACAACAGTGGGATCCTTTTTCGAGCAGATGCAGAAGTGTTCCATTGAAGCTCTTTCTCTCAACCGTGTGGGAGCCATCTAGACCCTATAAGATAGCTCGTTACCCAGTACTTGGTTAACCCTTACAATCGCTTAGCTCCATCTCCCTTCGCTTGTCGATCTAACAGGTGTTGAACTGAGTGGGTTCCTTGGCACCAAGATTCAGGGAACTGAGCACTGATGTTCAATGCGAGACTCTTAGTCAACAAAGATCCATCACAATGACGCAGTTCCTGACATAAACGTCATATCATGGCACACTGTCTCTATATAAGGGAGTAATTCCCCTGGGAGGATTAGAGAGGACAATTTGTTCCAAATAAGAAAGGGACATTCTGGGACACCCTAACCCACTATCTTGATCCTTCATTGTGTGGTCACTCTGGAATCGTGACTCCAATTCAAGCTTCATTTCATACCTCAATCTGTTCAATACCATTTGGTTGATCTAAGCTTACTCAAGCATGCAACTGTTGGCTGCCCAACAACAGGAGGGCATCCGCATCCGAACTTCCGAGTTTCAAGTGCCATGACTTTCTAACACACCCTCCCAGTTGAGCCCGCGAGGGCGAGACTGGCTATTCTGCCCTTCTGAACAGATTTAAGTGATATTGTTCTTCTCCCTGCGTTCTGCCAGCTGCTCTCGCACGTCAACAAAGCCACAAAAACCTGGCAGTGTTTGACGGAGCGGTTTTCCACATGCCAAGAACTGCGTATCCGGCCCCACTTCATTGCATGTGCCTGTTTCGGAAGGCGGTAAGGTGCGAAGAGGCGGTGGCTTCTTCGACCCTGCATCTCTGCCGAATTTGGTTGCTCCAGGCCATTGGCCTACGAGTATTTTATTTTTACCGCCCACTCACCGCCTCAACTACCGCCTTAGCCCACAGCGCCTAGCTCACTGCCCTAGCCCCACTCGCCTGCCCATACCGCCTTACCCACACCGCCTTACTCACACCGCCTTGCCCACACCGTCCTGCTCCACGGCTTGCTCACCGCCTTGCTTGCTGGTTCATCGCCCTGCCTCCCGCTTTGGTGAACCTTGGCCGACCTCCTGTACAAATATGGTCTAGCAAGCCCCTCTGGGATGAAGCTATACCCATTTGACTAAGCACTCAATCCCGTCATCTACGCCCCTGTGGTCTTGCCCGCTTCTGAAGCCTTCCAGCCATCAGAGGTTTTTGTATGGCTGACACTTGATTGGTGGTATGGCCACCATCCAAGTGGTCTGTTGTTCCGCGATGACTCCACACCGTTCACGTCCGCAATGCATCGATGCCTCAGCGACACATGCCGGACCTGTCAGGAGGCGACTCAACACTTGTTAGAAGCGAATTCGGCGAAAGCCAAGAGTACTCGTCTGCTTCATTTAAGGGAAGATCGGCTTTTTTGGAAGTGAGCCGCCCTGCCAAGGGACCGCGACGGTGGCGCAACCCGAGACAGTGGCCGAGGTGGCCGACCGCCCACCCTCCCCAAACGACCGAGCCGCGCCCCGACAGATTGATAGTAACGGGGAGGCGATGGCCTTTATTGTTGATTTCACGGCCTAGGTCGCGGGTCCAACAGCAAAGAGCACTCGCAAGGGCATTGAAACCATCATCAGCGATGCATTGGACTGGAAGAGGAAAAGCGGAGCGACATTTGAAGCAGAAAAGACGGCAGTCGCCCACTTTACCCGCAAGGCGTCCAAGGCGGACTCGGAGCCTCTCATCTTCAAGGGCC